TTATGAATCCAGTACCCAACAGGGCAGTTTTGAACATCAGAAAATACACATATTATAACATTTCTACGTACACCAGGGTATCTGACCTTGGCAACTTTAAGAGTCGTGGTGTTCAGTTCCCAAAATTCCCCAGCCTGCCCCACTAGCTGGGAGTTGAAGCCCCCAAATCTTAAAGTTGTCAAGGTTGGACCCCCACATATATACCATTTCTCAGTATGAAAATTTTCCCCCGATACAGATACATCTTCTATGAAATTTACATTTTTATCATAGCAAGAACTGTTTCCATTTTCCAGCTAACCAAGAAAATAAGAATAAAGTCAGAACTTAAAACACTTCTGTAGGCAAATACATAACTTGTCTTAATATAGGCAGCAAACTTCCTCAGACTTGCTTTGAAAATGGTGATCTGTTGAAATTGTTAGAAGATAAACTAATGATTGTAAATCACGCATCACATAGAAAATATTCCTTTGTTCTTGTTCTACATAGAAGGAACAGTTCAGATCTGGACTTCAAGATAGCATGTCTTGCCATTTTTTAAAAAAGCATAATCTGACAACAGATTTAAAAATGCTTAAAAATGCTTTTTATGTGATGAAAGAGTAGACTGTTATCCAAACAATAAACAAATGAATGATAAGTTTCTTTCTCCCTTAAATCCATGAATATAAAAGTTTTGCTTATGTGAGGAATGTACATCTACTTGAACATTTGGAAAGAGCATCAGGGTTATTACAAAGAACAGAAGAATATTTTCTCAATTTTGATATCTTGGAGTAGGATATATAAATTAGGACAGAGAGTGTAGCCATGAGTTCTGCCTTTAAAATCTGTCTCAGTATAGAGCCACAGACTGAATACATTAGTGATTCATGATATTGTAGAAATAAGATTACGCCAACCATTCAAGGATAAAGTAATTATTGTTCCTTCCCAAATTGATGCAATCTTGTTTCCTAGAAGGATTAGATCAACCGGATCCAAAAATGAAGGAATAAGTTCTTAAATTCAGTTTTCTTTCCAATTTAAATATTATTAATAGCTTTTATTTGCATTGTTCGCTCTGGATCTTTGCCACATGCTAATTTTTAAGGTATGCATTAACTGTCATATTTTTGGGACTTTTTCTTCTTACTAAATGAATCAGCAATTAGAAACAGTAATCTACATTTGATGGTAGAAAAGGAACAGATGGTTTGGGGTCAAAATAGCAATTTTCAAACTTGTTAGCTTTTATCCAAAACAGATTTGAGAGCAGATACATTTTTAAAAATCCAATACAGTTAATCTGAAAAGAAACAAGTAATAAACTGGACAATCAATAAAACAATCATGTCAATTGAAATAAAGTTACTATGAAATGAGGTCATTTTAAATGTTAACAATTTATATTTCTTCAGTTGTTTGTTCCATCGTCTTTTGAAGAATTATATGCACTTGAGAACAGCTGTCCTAGCCATTCTAACTTTTTTGCAAAATGTAGGGGAAAGAAGGGAAATATTTTACAAATGAAGCTTTATACTGCAGTTTCCCCTACATTCTAGTGAAAATGTCAGGATTTCGGCCATGTTTCATGGGCACTTCCAGAAAATGTTGTTGGGAATATTCTTCTGGATGTTGTACCATTCTCAAGTTCCATGTTTTTCCCCCTTATATAAAATGTCTCCATGAAGCTATTGAACAAGGCAACATAGAGTTTTAGAGTTGTGTTCAGCATAGACTTGTTAAACTAGTACTAGTCTACAGTTGATAAATTGTACAAAAACCAACAAATAAAAATTTAATTCAGATAATAGTAACAGCTACTGTGTGGTACTGTGTGGGTTCAGAAAAATGGAATTAATTCTGTTCTGAAGGATTCCAAAAGAATAAAGTCTAAAGTTAAAACATACATATAGATCCATTATTGTTGTTATAACTTCAGTGACCTCTCTAAATTCCTCTTACTAGTTTAATCTGGTAATCCCTGTTTAGAAATATATAACTTGACTCATGCTCTGGTAACCTTCTTGTTTTTATTACTATAATGCCTTCTACATGGACAAAATGTGGCAAAGTTTTAACTAGAATTAAACATTTGTTCTGAAGGCTTTCACCAGCTCTTAGTTCATAAGTAAAGTTCAAAATATTGGTTTTTAGTTATATAGGTTTTTATGACATAAGATCTGAGGACCTACAGAACATTTATCCTCTATGTATCAAAACATGCCTTAAATTAATTAATTAAAGTCCTGCTCCAAGGGTGAATGCTAGTGCCAAAGTTTTCTTGATCATAGTGTCCTAAATACAGATTTATTCTCCACAATGAAATTTGACCAGCAGCAATTTTAGCTATTGTGACTATTACCTGTCCCCTCCAAAGGAATCTGCTTGCTTATGTGTCTGCGTATCTCTTCGCCTTCCAACATACTTAAGTGCCACTAACTCTACTGCTGTTGCTTTCTATCAAAGGTGCATCAGGATGGTGTATTCAGAAATATTTTATTTTACCAAAGAGAAAGGGAAGCCTTTGGTTAAAGTAAGATTCTTTCTCCCAACACCTTTGTTTAACAAAGGAAGTGAAGAGATAAGTGAAGATAATGGAAAAAAGTAGGCCAGTTTAGAAGGATATCTGCATGATTACATCCCAATCAGAGGATGAATGGGTCAATATTACCTGGGTTGGGCGGGCAGCTTTTCCAATTGAGGATAATACATTTTGGGATAAGAAAGGTTGCAATACATAGCTTTTTCCATTTTCATTTCTGGTTAAGCAGTTCCTTTAAAAATGTTATGCTTATTTCCAGACTTCTACTGGTATTGTTCATTTTTTTCAATTCAAAATGGAATTTTATAATTGATTTTCAACTATGACATGTGGCTCTGGGGGATGCAAAAAGATGGTTCTGGGGCACTCTGATAGTCTGCCCAGGAAAGAATGTTTTCTCCAGCCATACGGGATGCAGTGATGATTAAGAGCCCAAACACAGTATTGTTATAAGATAACTGGAGTCCGAGATGAATAAAATATTTTTAAAAATATTTTATAAAAATAGAGCCTGGTGGCACAGCAGACTAAAGCACTGTTATTAACAGTGCTGTTATTAACATCAGCTGCCTGCAATTACTGCAAGTTCAAATCTCACCAGGCTCAAGGCTGACTCAGCCTTCCATCCTTTCTAAGGTAGGTAAAATGAGGACCCAGATTGTGGGGGCAATAAGCTGACTTTGTATAAAATATACAAAAGTATGAAGGCTATTGCTTAACTCATTGTAAGCCGCCCTGAGTCTCCAGAGAAGGGCGGCATATAAATCAAATAAAAAAATAATAATAATAAAATAAATAAAAATAAATAAGACATAAATGTAACTTTAGCCTGATATTGATTTTTGATTGCATCATATATTTGATATACAAGAGGCCAGATATTTTTGCATCAAATTTGCCTTCTGATTAAAATAAAAATCACAACAAAAATAAGCCATTATTTCCCCATTTAAAATCAATCAATAGCATAAATGACTGGTCGGGACTGGTAAGAGAGAGCAAGGGAGAAAACGTGTCTTGAGCACTGGGATGCAAATTCTGATGCTTACTTAATTGCATGTAATGAGCTGCACAAGAATAAAGGGCTGAAATTTGTGTTATATTATGTCAGGTTGATGTCACCATGATTAAGAAGAGATGCCAATGATCAACAATAAAACAACATAGATATCAATATTGTTAATTAATAAAAAGAAGTCTAGCGGTGAAGGCATTGTAAAACTGGTGAGGGAATATTTATTCCTATTCTGTGGTCTTGTCTATGATTGCTCCATTTTGGTTGGTATCTGTAGGAATGTTCATATGGCCCTATAAAGATAAGTACAGTTTAAAAATGCAAATGTATTTGCAGTTTTTACAAATCTCCACATTTGCAATTTATCACTTTATGAACCGTTATGGATTTATCTAGCAATTTATCACTTTATGAACCGTTATGGATTTATCTAGCATGGAGGACAGCAAAAAAAGATCACTCTTCAGTGTTGCAGACAGACCTTCTCCAGATTATCATCAGGTTTTGATTATAGATAAATCAGTGGTGCCCAAATTTGGAAATTTTAACACCTGTGAAAACTCCCAGAATTCCCAGCCAGCTGGTTGGAGAAGTCTGGGATTTGACGTCCACAGATCTTAAAATTACCAAAGTTGGACATCCCTGAGACAAATGCTTTCTGTTCATGAACTTGCTTTTTATCAATGCAGTGGACAGCCTATCATTACTTTTGTGTTTAAAATTTAGGGTTTTCTTTTATGCAAATTAGAATGTTCTTGCTTCATTTTGCTCTTGAGGGCTTTTTAATATTAAAGAGAAAAATTACAGGGACAGAAGGAAGACAATGAGGAGGCTCAGTACAGAACAATAAACATTTATCTACAGCACCGTGTTTTAACTTGGCCATTTAAAGACGTATAGAGTCTATAATTCCCAGAATATCCCAGTCAACATATTGGCTGAGAAACTCTGGGACTTAAAATCCACACATCTTAAAGTTGTTGGGATTGACAAACAGACCAATCGTACTGTAAATGTTATCGGGGTAAAAAAAAATTGCGCAATAGGCTGAAATGCATTTGAAGACAGCCGATAGAAAAGAAAAAAGAAAAAGAAAGTTTGTTTATAGTTTGCAGTAGACACCATTCCGAGTAAACCCTTCTCTTGGGGCGCCATCGCGGCTCCTCCCTTTCTGCGAAATCTCCAGGCGGAGGCAGCGACGTGGCCCCAATTAGCGTAGATCAGACCTGCGTGCTCGGTGATGATAGATACGCATTCTCTTCATTGTTGTTTCGGGTCGTCTGGGTGTTTAGTCTTAATAAAAGCATTCCATAAAAATAATAAAAAACAACCCACGCACAGAGCTTTTCCTTTTTAAATTCAGGGCTCGTCCCCTACTGTAAGGGAAGAGGTTAGGAGCACAGGTCAACTATCCTGCCAACTGGCGCCCCGCCACTCTCGGTGTTCCCGGCTCCCCCCTGGGCTCTCCCGCGCGGCGCTCTCGGCGCTGCCGGCGAAGGAGAAGCTTGCCTGCCAGCCCGCCGCCGGGCGAAACTCCTGCCTTCCCCGCCTCTCACAGGCTCAAAGGGCACCTGGCCGGCGCGAAGGGGCGAGGCTCCGCCTCCGCCGCCCTCTCCTTTTTTTCAGGTTGCGGTGAAACTCCGGTGAAACTCCCGGGCGCCGACAAGGAAGGAGGTGGAAGTTCTCCTGTGTTCGCCGCCGGTGCCGCCGCGATCCAGTGGGAGCCTTGCCGCGGATATGGGGCGCCTCTGCCAGCCTTGGCTGGGGGTCCTGGTCTTGGGAGGAACTTTGGCCGTCGCCTCTGTTACAGGTGAGAAGCGAGAGGTGCGCTTGGGAAGTTTTCGCCCTCTCCCGTCTTTTTTCCTCCATCGGAGCCGGGGTTCCCGCCTTTCGGGACCGGTGGGGAGACGGGCTGTTCTGGGGACATCCTGTGCGTGTGTCCCGTCCCCCCCCCAAGGTGCTACTGGACATGGGGTGGGGTGGGGGGCTTGCCCTCTCAACAAAATGGCTGCCGTGGGCATAGGACCAGGGACAAAAACCTGTTTTTATCAGAATGGCTACCTGCTCTTTTCCCTTCTGCCCCATGGCGAACTTCCTTCCTACTTTTGGGGATCCTTTGGGGATCATCAGGAGGACAGCTTAGCCAAGATCACCCGTTGTTTTTCTTTTGTGAGAAAGGTTAGGGGCCTTTCTTGGGAAAATAAGAGGCTGGATCTGGTGGTTGTCCTCAGCTTGGCTCCCTGTTTCCTATTTTTCAAAAAGGAAAATGCCAGATAGGACAGGTAACCTGAAGGGCACGGAGGGAGATTCTTCAGGTGTGTGGCTGTTCTCTGGGCACCACATTGGGAATTTAGCTTGACAGTCTAGTAGGCGATAGAAAAGGTTCTTGTGTCATCAAAACAGGAGTAACTTCATTGGGATTTAACTCCCCCAGTGAATGTGTGCATTGAGTTGCTGCAGTGATGTTATCTATTCACTGAAGCTTTTTTGTTTTTATGTCTGATAAATAGAAGCTTAACCTGATGACACAGCCTAGTTCCTAACAGAAACAGGTTCTTTAGAAGAGAAGCAAAAGTTTGTTTTTTTAAACTTCTTTGAAGCTAAGATCTCTAGTTACAAAGACGAAGTCCAGAAGTTCAGGAAACTTTTTCTGCCTTGACTGCTTGAGAAGTTTCAGTTTACCACTTGAAAAGCTGACTTGTAGCAAACTAATTAATACCTCTTGTACTTTGATTGTTAGTGAAAAGATCTAAAGAGTTTATTATTTCAAAAACCCACTATTTTTTTTTTTTACAAGCTAAAGTTGAACTTTGTTCTAGCTAAGGGCAGAAGTACCTGTTTTCCAGTAATTGGTTGATGTTAATAAATCTTCAGAATAGCATAAGAGCTCATTCTTTTAAAGCTGTTTTAGAATGAGAGCATTAGATTTGGAAATATAAAAATTAGCCTTTCATAAAGGAGCATCACAGTATTCTTCCTTGAATGAGCATGTGTGTGTGTATGCTTAAGCAACTATAACTACTCTGTTTACTTTACCTTCATTTTAATTGCTTAGAAATTTTAATCTGGATTATAAAGAGGGTGTTAGATTCTAAGAAAAGTGATAGATGAATTTCCTGTATGTACAATCCAATAATATGAATGACTGCATCAACATAAACAAGTGGTATAGGATCCTAAAGCAAGAAGTCCTTCCTATCTTGGGTTATGATATAATTTTGCAGTTTGATGAGTTGGACATGGGCAGTGGTGCATTCTTTTGGAGGTGGAAGAAAAAGGAGAATGTATCTGCGGTTAAACTGACCTCCATGATTTGGGGGAGTTGCTAGAAGATCACAGCAAATTCATATGCAATAATAATTAATGCAGTGTTTACAGTTTAATACTTAGTATTACCTTCATTAACTTACCTTCATTAACTTGCATTAATATTAAATGCTGAGAAACGATGAAGAGCTTCAGATGTTGAGGTATTATTCTACAGAGCCAAATAACATGGAATGTATGTGGTGAGCTTAAATTGCTCAACATGAGAAGAACCTAAAATGCCCTTTACGTCTTTCGCGTCTTTGCCTAATAAGGATTCCCTCTCTGCTTACGACAAAGTACATACTTTCTACATAAGGGAAGCTGTTCCTGTTTACCACCCAAGATACTTTCAGGGGGGTACTGAACAAAAGTATGACCTTTTCCAGTGAACACTGAACTGAACTGAGTTTGCATAAATTAATGGGTGAACTTCTGATCCAGTTAATACTAATGGCCTCCCACACAATGAATATAATATAAAATGCACGAATAAGTTAGTCCCAAGTATGCTAGAGTAAAATGAGCTGGTGATATTGAGTGCTTGGGAACTGGCAGACAAGAATATTGTGCCTGTTTCTCAATCTCTTGCACAAGTTACATGTTGTGAATCAATACACGATTCTCAATGTCAAGTTGATGCTACAATACCAGTTGACAGATTTATTGTGTTTTATTAATCTAAGTGAAATGTTTATATATATATTGCTAATCCATGTATGATATGCCATACGTTAAATAAATAAACCAATTGACAGAGAAGTGGGATGGGGCATTTCTAAGAAAAGAAAAATATTATTTCCCTTTATTTTCTTTCTAGACCCTTAAGATAAAAATAAACCTAACAGGGTTAGAAGTGTGTATATATATATACATCCATCCATCCATCCATCCATCCATCCATCCATCCATCCATCCATCCAATGTGAGTTCCTTGAGGAACCTATTTGAAAAAAATAAAACATTAAAAAGATGGGGGGCTGCATATATTTTAAAAAGATGGGTGAGGGCTGTATATATTTTGGCTAGCTGGCCAACTTACACTAGCAGGGCAAAGTGGGAATTTGGTGTATGCACTTGTTCTAATAATGTGTAGCTCTGTCCATAATAGCTTATCAACTCAAACTCTGATCTGTCTGAGGTGAGACACTGCAATTTAGATTGCAGGAATTGCATCTTTTTCCCTTTTATAGAAAGCAAGGATGTTGGGGTAGACAATAACTTTTCTCATTGATATGCAACATCTACCCTATCTTGTTGTCCCTCAGATGTTTTTATTAAAGCCAATAGAAAACTTCCTTGCTTGCATTAAATCCTCTACAATGGCAACAAATTTTATTTCTTAAAAAAGAAAATTGCCTCTCCAAATTTGCTATTTGGGCCAGACTAGATATGATTTAATCTATAAAATTGGAATTAGACGTTAACATTAAAAAGCAAAAAAAGTTGCAGAGCTGATCATTTTTGCCCCTCCTTTTTTGGCTCCATCCAGAATGCTGAAGTGTTTCTGGAGTAACACTTTCAATCACAATCAAAATTTAATTTGGACTGGAATATTGGTTGCTGAGCAAAGTGCTTGTTAAGCTAGATGCATGACTGCTTTACTCAGTGACTACAATCCTGGCATTCAGGGTTGTAATTGTTAAGCAATCTCCTGGGGTCATTAAACAGATGGAATCCCAGGTAAGGACCATGAGGTCTCAGAAGGTGAGTAAGAACTGGGAGGCTTCACTCAGGAATTGAAAATGCTTCTTTCCAAAATTCCAGCAGGATTTTCAGACCTTGAGTGAAGAGACACACACCCACAGCCTGTGCCAGGCCTTACCTTACCTCTTCTCTCTGCTGGGATTTTGGGTTCCTCTCATCTGTGGGAACTGGCTGAAAAAGCTGCCTGCTGAAGGCTTTCAGTTGCCTTCTGTGCATGAAAAGGAACTGACAGAGGTGGGTTGCTGCCACTTTGCACCGGTTCTCTAGAACTGAATGTTACGGATTTGCACAGTTCAGCGAACCGGCAAATCCCACCTGGCTGGCCCTGCCCGCCTCTCCCCTCCCAGGAGTCCCCCTGTTTTGGCATCCAGTTTGGTGGAGGGATGCCTTCCAGGCCCAAAATGGGGCATGGGGAGGGGGGGCGTCATGGGTCCCGTTTTCGCTTCCAGGGTTTTCGCTTCCAGGGTGGTGCTGGGAGGCTAGCAGGCCCAAAACAGGGTGCAAGGGGGCATCACGGTCCTCCCCCATGCCCCATTTTCACTTCCAGGATGGTGCTGGGAGGCCTAGCAGACCCAAAACGAGCCTGTTTTTGCTAGCAGGCCCAAAATGGGGCATGGGGGGGTGTTTTGGCTGCCAGAATGCTGCAGGAAAATAGTGCATTATCATTACTGTGGGGTGAGTTGGGAATATGGATTTTGCATTATGATAACTGGAGTGAATTTGGAATGGGGATTTTGCATTATGATTGCTGATAAGTAAGTAGGAAGCAGTAAAAGAGGAATGGAAAAATCCCTATCTGTAGATCAGTGTTTTTCAGTCTTAGCAATTTTAAGATGGGCGAACTTCATGATGCCTGTGGAATTCTGGGAATTGAAGTCCATGCACTTTATCCATCCATTTATCCATCCTAAATGGATTATCCATCCATTTAGGATTTTCCATTCCTGTTTTATTTAGTGTTTGGTGCAGTTAAATAAATCAGTTGTGGTTTCCTTAACAAATAGTGATTAAAGCGATATGAACCATTACTGGACTTTTTGTGAGAAACTGAAATTAAAAGTTGATCTGGGCTTTGATGATTAGATATGGAATTATGGAAATAATGTAGACAAATGTTAATCTTAGAGTAAGAGTTTGATATATTTTGTACTTATATCTGTACCAAAGAAAGTTGGAAATCATTCTTTTTTGGTTTTCCTTCTTTTCCTCTTTCTTTCTTACACTTTTACTCTTTTTCTTTCCTGAGCCTTTTCTTTTTTCAACTCTGTTTTTTATTTGTTTATCCCTTAGCTTTGTATTTTTTTGATGTATGAAGGATCAAATACTCAGCCATTATAATTCTACATTTTTTATTTACATAAATCATATCAAAATTTAGAATGAAATCTACTGGGAGCCATCTCATATAAGGCAGGCTCTGAGTCCCTCTAACCAAAAAATGTTTATTGATAGAAGAGGTTATTTGTAGCTCGGGGTTGAACTGTGGGGTCCTTAGTGCTCTCTGAGCTTGATGGTTTTCTTGCAGATGTTTCATTACTGTAGAAAGTTAGCACTCATCCCACTCCTAGAAGAATGAAATATTCTAGGAAATATTATAAAGGCAGAATATTATATCTCCCTGGATGAGAAAAGGACAAACACGCTCTTGGAAAGCAGCCCCAACCTTTGTTGATCGCCCCAGCAGATATTTTGGTGCCAACCTATCTGCAAGACAAAAGGTTGGGCCAGCTCATCTACAAAACAAAAGAACCTTACCCTCAGTACATGATAGGATTAGCCTTCTACCCAACTCACCATGTGGCACAAACAAAGCCCATCATTGCATCAAAATAATGACCCATATTGCCACATGGGAGTCGACAACCAATCAGGATACTTCCCCTTGCCACAGGAACGGGAAGCAAGGTCATAGCCCAAGAGAGGGTATAAAACTATCCCTCTCTCTCACCCATGTGCTCATTTTGCCCAGGATCAAACCATGTGGTCTTTTCCACCATTAAAACCATCTTTCCAAACAGTCTCCATGTTTCTTTTCTCCCCACTTGGAACTGAACCCAGTTGGATATTTCTTCCAGCATTACCAAACTAGGTAACATCATCAGTACTAGAAGGGAGTGGAGTTTGCTCTTATTTTCATATACTAGTGGCTTACCCTATCAGTGTTGATCAGTTGCTTCACAAACAGTGTTTTGATTGGTGCCAGGTCTCCACAGCCTCAGGCAGAGAAGGGCTATTCTGCACCCCTCCCTCAAATGTTCTTTAAAATATAGAGCTTCCCAGCATTCCTTTAGGAACCTCCAACATGCAAACTGTGGTTACTCATCCTAAAATTAATCCTCTTTATCTGGAGCTTCAAAATTTGCTGTTTGCTAGGAAGATGTGTAGCTAAAAGTCAGTCTACATTTAGTGTACATCTGACTTTGGGGATATTTCTTCATAACCAAACAAAAGTGTATTTTCAGTGAAGTTCACACCTCTTGGTCACTGGATCTGGAAGCAAAGGCCACATTTTGTAATTAACCTCTGCGCCCCGTTTTGACTGGCAGAGTGCTGCAGGAGGCTGAGTGCTGCCACACCCCCTGGCCATGCCCACCCAGCCACGCCCACCCAGCCAGTCATTACGGTACAAAACCGGTTGTTAAACTATTTGCAGCCCACCATGGGAACTGACCTCCTTTGGCCGGGTTCAGGAACAAAGCTGAAATCTTCATCAGTTCCCATTCTGTACCCTGCTAAAGGACTCCAAGTCTCCTTTGTGCATGGAAGAGAACTCCTTTGATGGGGTGCAGGAACAGAGCTTCAGGATTTCAGCTCTATTTTGCATCCCTCTGAAGAAGTTCAGCTCAGTGGATAACTCTTTCAGCCATTCCACAAAGATGAAAGGGAATCTTTTCAGTAGCCGGCAGCAGCTTGCAACCTTCCCTGCCGTCTTTCCCATTGACTTCCTAGGGAAACTGACAGAAAAGAATCCAAATGGCAGTTACATGACAGTAGGGTGCTTGGTAGCCAGTCATAAGTACAATGTTTCCGATGCTGTCATAATTCCAGGCTGTTGTTAAACAGTCATAAATTGAGGACTACCTGCAGAGTTTTTCTTATTAGTCTTCCTACTGGAGTCAAGTTAGCCTGTGTAGTCTCCTCAATTCAACAGTATTTTTATCCAAAGCAAAACAAATTATGGTACCAATTATGTATTTATAACTTGTTACTTCATTATATAGGCTATGTGGGAGATTGTTAATGGCCAAGTAGCTTAACATATTTGCTTTGTTTCTTTTTTTAGTGAGAAACCAAACTGTCTTTTCAAAAGGAGGAAGAAGCTTTATTGGTCAAAAAACCAATTCAACAAACAACAAAGAAGGATACAAAATAGATGAGTTTGCAACCAAAATCCTAACAGGAAAACTGACTACAATTTTCCTCCCTATGATCTACATTATAGTCTTCATCATCGGCTTGCCAAGCAATGCCTTGGCTCTGTGGGTTTTTTTCTTCAGAACAAAGAAGAAGCATCCTGCGGTGATCTATATGGCTAATTTGGCTCTGGCAGATCTCCTATTCGTAATCTGGTTCCCTCTGAAAATTGCTTACCATATTAATGGCAACAACTGGATCTATGGCGAAGTCCTGTGCAAAATACTTGTTGGGTTCTTTTATGGAAACATGTACTGCTCCATTCTTTTTATGACATGCCTCAGCGTGCAGAGATATTGGGTAATTGCAAATCCCATACTGCACTCAAGAAAGAAGTCAGAAATTGCTATGAAAGTTTCAGCTGCAGTATGGATCCTGCTGCTGCTTGGCACAGTGCCACTATATCTTATTAACCAAACTGTTTATATTTCTAACCTTAACATCACTACATGTCATGATGTCTTACCGCAGTCTGTGTTGGCCAACGACATGTTCCACTACTTCCTTTCCCTGGCTATTGGGGTCTTCTTATTCCCAGCCATTCTCACAACTGGGGCTTACATTCTCATGATAAAGACTCTTAATGCTTCCATTACAGATGCAACAATTGGGAAGAAAAGGAGAAGAGCCATCAAGCTCATCATTATTGTACTTTCTATGTACTTGATCTGTTTCTTGCCTAGCAATATTCTGCTGGTGGTCCATTATGCCCAGATCAAAAGCAGTGGATTCAGTAACGTATATGCATCATATATTACAGCCCTTTGCCTTTCTACTCTAAACAGCTGCATCGATCCGTTTATCTACTACTTCATTTCAAAAGACTTTAGGGATAATCTAAAAAATGCCCTTCTATGTCGAAGTGTGCGCACCACCAAGAGGATGCAAGTCTCTGTCTCTTCAAACAGATACCCAAGAAAATCCCCCTCTTATTCCTCTAGTTCAAACACAACTAAGTCAACTTATTAAATTTGTGCGTACGACACAGGAATGTCTGGATTTCCATGGACAGAACATGAAACCGAATTCCAGTAACATTTAGTAAACAAATGTTTACAGCTGGTGGACCTTCTTTCCATACAAAATTATATGAACAAACATGTCCTTTACAAAGGGAAAAATCAAAGTGGCACCCCTGATACGGACAATATAATATAGTTGAGTTTGGGTTTAGACCAATACAAGATTATTTTTACAAGCGATTAGCAGGTGTGCAAATAAGTTTTTCCATCTTGGTGTTAATCAAAGAAACATCTTGCATCCAGGCACAAGTGATGCTCCTAACTAATATTAACTAGTTTGAGATTTTAGACAACTTCTGTTTTATAAGAACGGGGAACGGTAGAAGAACATTGACAGTTTGCCAAACCTGTTTTTTCCTAATCCAGGATCTGTGAAGGCCCTGGAATACTGTATTATTAATATCCCAGTGACTGTTCTTTGCACTAATATACTTAATACTTTTATTTTTAACTATGCTGTGAATACGCAATGTTTCCAGTAATGTAGCATGTAAATTGTAGGCTTACTACAATATTTTAAAATAAAAATATTTTAAATGTTTTTAATTAAATAAAGGAACACTTTTATATACTTATTTGAGTTTGTTTGGATGTGTGAAATTTGCTTTCACCAAACTGTAAAAGGTTCCATTTTCTTCTCACTGGCTCCAAATGAAATAAAAGATTTAAGAACCACATCTCCAAAGTAGTGAATGGATCAATAAAAGAACTGGTTGATTTCATTTTCTCCGCTGTAAAATCCCCACCAGGGCCACAAGTGTGTCTAGCCAGGCTACTTGCCCACCTAATTGTAATTTATTAAATTTAATTCCTGATGAAAAAAAAAGCTGGCCCACTCTAAAGCACCAGCATTTAGCACCATCTTATCTGTTTTCTTATAATAGTCCCATTGGCTTTCTGAGGAAACAGTGGTTGAGTGGCTTTAGCCTACTGCTTTTTTGAAATGTGGTCACCTATCCAAATACACACACACACACACACACACACGTCCAATATGGGAAACCAGTGAGAAAAAGCACTGACGGGCTGAGAGAAACGCCTTCCCAAAATCGATTTCCGTGAACTTAAGTGTTTTGTTAATAGGCATGCCCTCCTAGAGGAGATATATTGTAGAAGCATCACTAACACACAACATTTTAAATGTTTTCATTAATGCCTCAATGTTTGCCTATTCTCTGCCCCTCACCCCCACTTGTCTGTTTTATAGCACCTTGTGTACTAAAAATGATCTGCCATTTATTTTAGTTGCTTATACCAGTATTTTAACTTAGATTGCAATCTCTGTTGCTAATCCAAAAATAAGCTCTTTTTTCATCTCTGACAATGTAGACTGCTCCTGAATTGGGCATGGCAGAATGCAGGTATCAAAACAGTGATAAATGATTTTTCTCAGTAATTCTGTTCTGGGTTAAGGAGATACTTTAGAGATCAAATCCACGCCTCTGTTTTATCTGGTGTGACAAACATGTTTGAAAATAGCATTAGTAAACTAATGTAGGCAAGTCAATGTTTGTAAAACTTTTTTAAAAAATCTTAGTTGAAGCACCAGCTTGAACTTCTCATGACTCAAGAAAACCCCCTTTTTTAAGCTGTCTCATATTAGTACTTAAGAACTTTCTTTGTTTTTACTGAATTGTGTATCCTACCTTTTTCCTCTAAAGAAGAGAGCTTTCAGCAAAGCAGAGCATAATTAAGAATTCTAAGTTTGTTTTAAAAAATGAAGATATGGTTATAAAAATGCAACACATTTTGAGTGTTTCGACTGTTCTGAGCTCAAAACAAAACGTCTTAGGGATTTCAAATTTGTCATGTCATAAGCAGCCCTATGGAAGAATCAGTAGTTAGAACATTTAATTTCCTTGATAGTGTTTTTCTCTAGCAAGGTTTACTTTTTATTTTAAGTAATCAACCAATTGTTGATCCAATGAATCAGGAATTGAGCCTAACGTCATGGACTGAGAAAGAGTGAGTACTCTAAAATTACCCACCAGCAGTACTGGAAATCCCAGTCTCCTGGTTTCTAGCCTAGTGCCTTAATCATTAAACCAAACTGGTTCTCAGTAGCTAAAACAATACCAAAGATAATAAAACTACAAATTCTTAACTATATTAACTCACATTCAAAGGCAACATCGCATAAGCAATGAGAGGTCACAGAGTCTTGGGAATGGTTTATCCTATCTTTGGTGGACTAGCACAAAGTACCTCGTTTTAAAAAATGAGTTATTTTTTGGTCTTCAGATATTTCTCTTCCTACTTGCAAAACAAAAATCTTGAAAGTTATGCATTCAGTGTAGCTATGCTGCTATGATCACTACAATCCCTAAATTTTCCCTCAGAAGATTTCTTAAAATGTAATTTCCAAACCAGTGTGCCTTAAAACCTAATGTTTTCAATAACTAAACTTCCTTTCTAAAATTAATCATTTTCTGCTTTGTTGGCTGGGGCTTTTCTCTTTTTAAGCATCTGCTGAGTAACTTTTCTATGACAGGGCCTCCTGTACCTTGTCAAGATACTGCCAGACTATTTTACAGGAGCCTGTTGGCTGCATTTTTCTGTGATTCACTACTCCAGGAAACTGCCTTTCAAATGAGTCATGCTCAGAAATATGAGTAATGTTGAGAAATGCAGGAAGGAGTGGGTTTTGTGAATTATCCCCCTCCCCCCCTTTTTTTATACTCTAAAAGCAAAGCACCTAAATTCTCAGGGGGGAAAAGTACCTCCCACTTTAATTCCTGGATATAATCTGTTTTAGGAACATAGGAACATTTTACATATAGAAATGTGTGCAAAACAACTGCTACTGTTGGTATTCACCAGATGGCTTAGATTTCAACTGCTATTAACTTCCCAAAGGTCAGGTAATTTGGGAAATTATGAATCTTAAAGTCCAAAGTGAGATGGATAAGATTAGTTTGAAAACTCAGGCTTGAACATATTAAGAATATGAGGACAAAGAAAGATTTGGTGATATTGTTCAGTCATCATACTAAAACATGATTTACTAAATAAGCTACCATTTGCTGGGTTTGCAGAGTATGCTAAACCAGAAATGGTTTATAAAGAGTTCCTGTATTAATACTATTAGACAGAGCCTGCCAGTCCTTAAAATATTATGAAAATGGCCCACATTTCACAACTCAGCAAAGTTTTAAAAGATCTGAGCTTCTGCTGATTGTATGAGCTCAGTTGTTTCATTTTAAAATAAAAATCATTGCAAAAGATATTTTGAGTGACTGAGCAATTTATCTGGTATTTCTTAAAGAACCCTGGTCAAAATTCCCACTGGTAATATCCCCATGCATATCTATGCATACTCATTCCTGGGTTCTTAGTCTCCTGTCTTCGCTTGGTCTCAAATCCCTTCTTCCTTTCATTTGTTCTCACCTTTGCTTTCTCGTGTTCTGATAACGTTGAAATGAGACAGGTATGCTACAAAATGAAGTCATCCCAACAACTGCATTTTGCCAGGAGACACATGGACAATGTAGGAAGGAAACCTGTTCCCAACTCGCTGTAAACTGCCCTTGTTTTCCTTTGCTTTGTTCACACCATTGCAAGTCCCAATATGGAGTGACTGAATCATGAATTAGAAAGCAAAGAGCATGGTAGTCTTTTCCTTAAAAAAAAGACCAGAAGAAATGTGCCAGTGTATCTGTTATCTTCACTGCAGAGGTACAGAAAGTTGGGGTGGGGGAACTTAATGCAGAACAAATGGAGTTTTTTACTGTTTGCAGTACTCTACTATTGATTTGAGACAATGATTTGAGTCGGGAATGACTAGCACGTATGTGTGAGGGGAACCTTTACCTTTACCATTGATTTGCAGCCTGCACTTTCCTATTGATGGGGACATTCCCATAGTAATTGCAGAGAAACCCTTCCATAAAAGGCCTTCTACTACTGCTCTGTAAACTGAGAAGAAAGGTTGGATTTCTTCCAAGGTTATTCAGAAACAAAGCAAAATTGCTGAAATGGAACAAGATAATCTCACCATATACGTTCATAAGCCTATGTTTGTGGCAACAATAAGAGGTTCAAGTATCTGATACCAGTGTGTTGCTATGTTTTAAATGTGTTTCTGTTAAAAACAACTCACCTTTTTGGCACTGAGTCAGGTTTTGGCTGTTTGTTTTACCTACCAAATTTCAGTGTCTTTAATGACACCTACTAGAAGGGTGTTGTGTATTGTAACCCCCTCTCACTCCTCAAGCAGCTGTCATAGACATTAAGTAAGAAAAGCTAGCAGTGGGATGAACCAAAACTCACAGTAAGCACATATTCTTTGAGAAGTAATAACAAAGATCTTAGCAAGTAATCAAGTTCATTAGAATTTTTCATCAGGCTGGAAACATAGTGATTAAAAATGCTTTTAAGAGTAAAAGGGAATGTAGTTGAGTGCACTCATATAATCATATTGCATAATAAAGTAGACGCAATAAATGAATATTGCTAGGAATTATGACATAGTTTGCTGTTCAGTAGCGTCTTAAAATGGAATGGATGATTTGGTGTGCAAACTTAATTAGGCTTTTAGGCTGTGTTTCCATCACATTCTGCAAAAAGGGCAATCAGAAAAAAATAACACAATTGTCCAATTTGATTTCTACAGCTAATAAGAACAAATAGGTCACTCACAATGCAGAGAGCAGATGCAAGGAAAACAAAGTAATCCTTTACATTAACAAGCATGGTGATTAATTTTAGATGGTGACATGGCCTTCATATCTTGGAACTTTAAGATGTATTAAATGATTACAACTCTCCAACAAGTTGGAGAAATCTGATCAAGACTAGCTGTGCATATTTATACCATATTTCTGCATATTTTTGTTTATTCCAGATCCTTCCGGCTCCTTTTTGCTCTGCTATACCTTCTCTCAAATACTGTATCTTCCCATTAAAGGAGAAAAAAAAAGACCAAAGAAGTAGGTATGTTAAGAAAAGAGATAGCCAAGCCTTTGCTGAAGAAAGGGAAGTAATTTGATAATTTTCTTTTTTACAGTTGGTCCCTAGTTCTTTCTAAACGACTTTCATACATAGACTTTTAAATCCGTGACTTTTCCGTTTTTCCATAAAAATTCCATAAAGATTGTCATAATCTTAAATTAAATTCATAATGTTCTATGCTTCAAATTACATAAAAGTAGTTTCTTTCTCTGATTATTTACTGCATTCTGCAAAATTCTATGGGACTTGTCTGGTATGAATTCCTCCTCTTTCAAATGCATCACTACATTTGTATTTGATTTTGGAAATGGAAGTAGGATTTTGGCAGCCAAAACTGATGCTAACTGGAATCGAATTCTTCTGTAGCTTTCTGAAAAACTATTGGCAGTAATAATGTTTCTGGTCTCTTGCCACAGCTACAAAAATTAGCCCTTTTTGTACTTAACTGTACTATCATATTACCACCCATGACGTTTGGCAGACATATGTCCTTGATAAGCTGGTTTGTCTAATGTTTATAGAATAGATTATGCATGAAATTGCGTCTGTATTCTGGCTGTGAGCTGTGACTGATTAGCAACATTAGATTTTGCTTTTGTAGACAATATACAAATATGAACA